GCCCCAACATCACTGTTAAATATAACTTTCTGTGATGATGGGAAGATTCTATTTCCTGTGCTGTCCAATATAACTGACAGTAGGTCTGTCTAATGTGCTGACCAATATGACACATGTGGCCACTGAGCATTTGAAATGTGGCTAGTACAATTAAGGAACCAAATTTTAAAATTTTAACTTATTTTAATTTTAATAACCACTTATGGCTAGTAGCTACTATACTGGACAGCACTGTTGTAGAAAATTCACAGTATATAGACTGCTGTTGATACAAAATATACATAAATAAGTATCTAAAAAAAATATGGTTTCCACTTAAGACCTGGCATTTCGGTGCCTATTTCCAATACTAACGAAACCATGATTGTGTGAGTTACAGAATGTTTTTTGAAAAATTAAAAGGTCTTTTATGCAATCTTCATTCTTCTTTATCTAGGAAGTAAGCACAGAATTCTTGAAAGCTTTATTCTCATGGCTTCAATAAGACTGTGTTACTTAGGTTCACCCATTACATCTCAATTTCTTTCTTTTTTTTGTATCATCTTAGTCTCTCCCATCTGCCATCAACCACAGGCTTTTTCCAAAAGTTGAATCCTTTGTTTCCTGTTTTCGATTTTCCATTCAGAAAAGATTTCTTACACCTTCAACTATGATCCTACTTGTTTTCTGCAAAACAGCACCACTTCACTACATAACCTTAAACAAAGTCTTAATATTTAAGACAGCTTCTCACCTGTAAAATAACTTGACAATGTTACTACAGTTCCTTTGGTTTTAGGAGTCTCTAAATTCTAGTAGAAGCCTAGTTATAAAACTTTGTTTCTGGTTTTTTCTTGATGATTCCTCTTCTTGCCCTTTAAGTGCTATGGTACCCCATGGTTGTCAGTGACCAACTTTTCCACTCTCTACATTCTCTCTCCAAGAACTGCATAAACCCTTCATTATGACTGTCTCAAATTTATGCTGCAGTTCTAACTTCACTCTTAAAGTTCAAGATTTACACTTCTATTTACTGCACAGTTTCTTTAGTTGGCCTGATACATTTAAGACTCCGGTAGCACATGTATCAGGCCAACTAAAGAAATTGAACCAAACTTTGTCAGTATGGCTTAGTGATCAAAAACAGAAGTTTTAGGATCAGATGAATCTGAATTTGAATCCTAGTGCTGTCATTTATTACCTGTGTAACACTGATCAGATTAATCTCAGGTCTCCATTTTTACATGTAAAATGGGGTTAAAACTAGTACTTACAACTCATGTGGTTGTTATATGTACATTTTATATATATAGCTTAGTACAATATCTGCAATATGCTAACAGCTCAACAAATGTTAGCTACTATTATTATTATCAGCAGCATTATCACCTTCCTAGTCCTGCAGGTTTAATAACTCAAGCAACTTGATGCATTGTCTCTTTACAAAAAAAAAAAATCAGTCAACATTTGTACATTTATTTTCCAGTATGATCTCAGACTATTTTTCATTCCTTGACTGTTACTGCAGCCAGCCAAACAGATTACTAGATTTTTATTGCTTACAGGGTAGTCTTTTCTTATTTTTATTCCCACTATATTACCTAGCATAATGCCTTACACATAAAAGTTTTGCTGTTATTAGACAATTCAAATAATCTTTACATTACTCATTCTATTACACTAGATCTCTTGAGTTCTTTGAGAACAGGGAGTGTCTTGGTCCTCTTTGTGTATCTACACCTGAAAATCCTTGAGTCAACAAACATCTGTTAAATGAACAGTCTCCCTGTTTCCAAACCTATCATCAGTCAGCTGCCTCAAATTCAAAGGGCAGCTCTCATATTCTCTAATCCAACCGATTTATTCTGACCAAACTGACCTCCCCACAACTTCAGGAGCAGACTCACTGTCATATTACTCAGGATTCTTATTTTGTATCAAAAAGTCTACTCAGATTAAGTAGGAAAGGGAATTCATTAGCTTGCATAATTTGACAGTCCAAGGATACCACTAATTTAAAGCCTAGCTATTATCCAAAGATTACCATCAGAACTTGGCCTCATTCCTTCTATCTTTTGGCTCTGCTTTCATTTATTGGCAAGCTCCAGGTTCACATTCTATTCTCTCAGCAACTCCAGGGTTCAAAGCATGCCTCTTTCTCAACAGAATTAACACTCCTGCATGCTGATAGGAAAATGTGTCCATCTCTAAACTATCACTATTGCCAGAGGGATGGACCACACTGACTAGCTAACCCTGAGTTATATGCACACCTTTGTGGCAGGGTGGGATCCATTCCACTGCCTGGACTGGCTTGCCTTCCCATTTCTGCCTCCCCAAATTAAAGCTACAACTTTTCAGCCCCCAAAAGTCTTTCATGATTTAAGATTTTCCCTGTCCATTGGATCAAGTAACTCATTCCCAAACAAACACTTATTCTTCTTCCTAAAAATCTACCGTTTAAAACAAACAGGAGGGGGAAAATCCCAAGAAAATGTTGCATGATGAATTTTAATTATGTCAAGTTATAAACAGTATGGGTAATATGTACTATTTCTTAAAATGTAAGGATAGCAGTTCTATGTATCTATAGATACATTCTATATATTAGGAAAGAACAGATTATGTGGCAACTTTTAATATAGTGTTCAAGTAATGTTTTGGGCTTTAAATTTTCTACAGGGTCTAAACAAAACATTTCAGCTAACAAAAGTTGGGTCTGAATTCAAAGTACCCTGTGTAACAGTCTATGGTTTTGGAGTTACCTCCAACAGGATTTGAGTTAGGCTCAAATCACAGCTAACACCACGTTCCTTGGCTTTAGCTATAGGTCTTTAAGCAAATTATTTTTCTTTCCAAACCTGGGTTTCACTACCTCTAAAAACAGGAATGGTAATATCTATCTGTATGTAAAGAGGCTGTGTGGCACAGTGAAGAGAAAAAGAGTAAGATGGACCCAGGCTGAAATTCTACCGCTATTATTATTTATATGCTTCTGAGTGGCTTCTTGTAAATTCTGTGTGATTCCTCATATGTAAATTTGGGATAATAATATTTTAAGCATTTATTTTGATTTATTTGGCTGTGCTGGGTCTTGGTTGTGGCATGAGGGACTAGTTACCTGCCCAGGGATTAAACCCAGGTCCCCTACACTGGAAGTGCTGAGTCTTAGCTACTGGATCACCAGGGAAATCCTTGGGATAATATTTAATCCATTGGTTGTTAAGTATTTAACAAGGCAATGTATTTTAAACATCTACCACAATGAATAGTAAACAGTGAAAACTCAATGTTATCCACATCAAACTATCTGTTTAAAATAATTTAGAGAATTCAGTATTTTTGTACTCACGAAGGTCTGCCAAAGACTTCTTATACTTAATAAGAGATATTTCTGACCTTTTAGAAATTAATCTAGTCTAACAGGTTATAAAGTACTTTGCAATCTTTTAGACTTTTTGACTAAATAAAATGTCAATGAACAAAAAATCTGGTTTATAAATAAACTATTAAAGTAAATAAAAATAAGTGTGGATAATAATGAATTAGAAATTCACGGCATAGTAAGGGAAAAATTCATTGGCATTACTTATTCTTTATAAATGCCTTAGCGTTTTCTTTGTTAGCTAATATTTCTTAAAGGAAAAAGACACTGGCCCTAGAGCTATTTAAAAGCCGGTAAGATAATGAGCTAGATAAACTTCTACAATCAACTTATCCCTTAACTTCAGGCTTAATGCAGTTAATACTGAAATGACTCATGCAATATGAAGTCACTATGCTATCCATCTCCTGAACAGTCAGTCATATGCCATAGAACGACAAGTTTAGATGCTGTCAATCGGAAACATGCAAAAGGCAAGTGGCTGCTCATTTACATAAGCAAAAAAAAATTAATTTTAAGGTCATTCACTAAAAAACACAAACTATATTCTATATAACTGTATTCAAAAAGATTAAACAAGACATTTGATTCCTTCCTTTTTACACAAGAGGCAAAGTCTCTTTGGAAAACAGTTTCTTGAAGTAGTGTTAATAGTTTTGCTTATCTTTCTAAAATGAGTGAATCATACGTAATATTTAGCAATCTTTAATGAGTGCACAAACATAGGAAAAGTTAACAGCTTAAGAAAGGTTGTATGAAAATAATTACATCATACTATACTATATGTAAGAGATGTTTTCCTCCTTTGTACTGTTTTTAATCTACTCCTTGAGGAAGCTGTATTTTAAACACAAAGGGAAACACGTTGAACACCTCAGTCACCAGATACTGTTCTCTACAACTAAGAAAATCAAGTAATATCTAATTTATTTTCTTTTCTGTGTTAAAAAAATACGTATAAGGCAAAGTAATTTTTTTTTAAAGAATTAAACATAGATACGGTAGGCAATCTTTTGTGCCTTTTCTAAATAGTTTTCTTCCTGCAACTTTTTTTTGAGGGGGCATGAGGTAAGAGGAAAAGTAGTGGAAGTCTGAAAGTTGGCCCTAGTTATTTTTACAAGTACATTTGGTAAGTCAACCAGACGAAGGGGAGAAAGAAAAAGCGTTCGGGCTCACACTGGAAACAACAGTTCTTAAAAAACGCCAGTGCTGAGAGTCATGCTTTCCTGACAATGCAGCGACCAATATTACTCCGATTAAAAGCGCGCTACAAACCTAAATCTGAGTAAAGTCAATTTGGCATCCTAAATCCGAATTGGCCTGCAGCAATCCGGCGGAGCAAGGGTCTACCTCAGCTTCCGCAGAAGTTAATTTTCTAGGAGAGTAAAACACTACCCATCAGTTTCCTATGGCCTTCTTCCCCGAGAGATGCTGCTGTCCACCTCGCCCCAGGCTCCGGGTCTGACCCGCAGGCCTGGGTGGGTTGGGGCAGTCGGCTTCTCCCCGTTACCCTGGTCCCGACCAGGAGTAATGGGACCAGTTACTGTAACTACCCGCGATTCCCCCGAACGGCCAGGGCGGCCTCCGACCGCGCCCCGGGCCTCCGGTCCGCTGGGATGTCCCCCACCCCACTCACCCGCCCGAGTGGTGTCCGTCAGGTCGTGGTTGGCCGCTCCCCGGGGAAACTCCCTCAGTTTCCGGCCGCTCAGGCTCAGCACCCCGGTTACCGCCGCCTCCTCCAGCGCTCGGTCGAGGGAGCGGCTCCACGAGCCCGGGCCAGGACCAGGGCCTGCGCCGGAGTTTGGGCCGCAGTTAACAACCGAGAGGTTACCTCCCGACGCTCCTGGGCAAGAGTATTCTGCAGCCGCGGCCACAGCGACCAAGCCCGCGGCCGCCATTTCCCAGCCAACTCTCCGGCCCTTCAGCTCAGCGCATGCGCGACCAGATGATAGGTGGGCGGGGAAAGGGGCTTACAGACCCCGGCCGGGTCCCTTGATGGACAGGGCTGCGGTGCCGCTCTGCACTTCCAGGCGCTGGCCTCCGCCCACAGGAGGTTTCCAAGAGATATTTAAAACGGAACTCACAAATCTGGAGCACCTCCCTACGGTAGGCTCCCAGTGGCCTTTCTAACATAACTCTACAAAAATATCTTTCAGACAACGCTCCTCACCAAAACTACCTTCCTCCCTTAGGAGGATTAGATTAAACATTTTTTAACACTGTTGCTGCCAAAAACGAGGGGAAACGTTCCTTGATTTGTCATTCTATAAGCCAAGTGATTTAAGTGGAGATTGTGAATTTATTAACCATTATTGCCTGAGGGAAAAATAAGTGGCTCCAAACTTCATAATTCTCATTGAAAGGGTTATATAAATATTTTAGGCCCTTCCTACAAAATAGCTTCTTAAGGAAAATAAACACTTTAAATAGTACGTCTTCTTTGGGCAAGATATTATTGTTGAACGAAACTGGGTGAACCTCACTTAAGTCTAAAATTTGGGTCTAGAAGCAAAACTGAGGAAGATAAAATGATTTTGCCATAATCTACATGTGGGAATTAAAGATAGAACTGAAAAAAGTTAAAAATGAAAATGAAACCATTCAGTTATTGGAAAAGTAGAAAATATTTCATTTTATCTAAAATATTTTATAATTTTTTACCACACCACGGAACTTGCAGGATTTTAGCCTCCTGATCCCATGGACAGAGTCGTCTGGTGGGCTGCAGTTCAGAGGGTTGCAGAGTTGGCAGGACTGGGTGACTTGCACAGCAGCACAACTTCCTGAATGAGGGATTGAACCCATGCCCTCCAGAATGAAAGCTGGGAGTTCTAACCACTGGAACACCAGGGAATTCCCACCACTTCATTTTAAGCCAATTAGGCCTCACATATATTGCAACCAGTCTTCAGCTTATTCTTGACATTATTGAATGACATTTAAGTCATTCCTGCTAAATGATGTAAATTTCCCCTACAATCAATCAACTAGTATTTTCTGTGGGAAATAAGACTGTCAGATACAGTCCTTTTCCTAGATTTGTTTTTCATTTATTTTTATTAGTTGGAGGTTAATTACTTTACAATATTGTAGTGGTTTTTGCCATACATTGACATGAATCAGCCATGGATTTATGTGTTCCCTATCCTGATCCCCCCTTCCACCTCCCTCCCCACTTTCACTAGATTTTAATTATGGAATCCAAATAAGCCAAATAGAGATTAAAACCACAAAAAAAGGGCTGAGTGGGGGTGGTGGGGATTAACCATCAGAATTCAAAGAAAAGGAATCTAGTATGTCAAATTCTGAAACAAATCTGAAAGATTCTGAAGTGCAATAGGCTGGAAGGGGAGAGTAATATCTCAAATTGAAAGGAGTATCAGCATGAACACATCCAGGTATGATTTATAATGGTTCATGTGGAGAATATTGCCACAGGCCAAAAAGTTCATGTCAGAGAGCAAAAGAAAGTAAGGTTGGAGAGATGCTGTCCATCACTCAAGGTCCAGTTTTACAATGAAACCTTGATTAGCACTTCCCAACACCTAAATAGAAGAGACTGTAAAAATGTTTAATCTCAGTGCCAAAGTTCATTAGTATCAGTTGCTCAGAGAGTTGTTCTGTAAATTCTGTGTTCTAGGTTCTTCAGTGACAGGTTCCATGATCAATGTCTCTAATGAACATGGATCACCCAAATAGCAAGTGATCTGTTATCCCTGGCAGGTATCATCTATCCAACCTATGAATTGGTTTTTGTTACTCTAGACTTCTAAAATTGTTACTCTTAGAAAGACTTTAAGCTATTTAAAGATCAGGTCCTCATTTTTATTTTTTTAGAGCTATTTCAACCACAAAAGCAGAACCATATATTCCATATTAATGCTACAATACTATAGAAATAGTCAGACTTTTAAAATGCACAGGTATCATCTATATTTGATTACTGATTACCTCCCACATTTGAATTCCTCTGACAAATTCTCCATAATATGGCCTCATTCTTCCTATCCACCTGCACATATCATTATAATTACAACATACCATGCTAATTCCGGCCTTTGCAGTTCTGACCAAGTTTATAGATTGATTATACTTTGTCTAGGCAACTAGATTTTAAGGTCCTTAATATGTTAAACTCTGTATCTTCAATATCCTGGCAGAGTAAGTATACCAATAGTTTAAAAACAGAGTAAATGGAAACAAAGAAGATGCTGTTAAGTACTAACACAGTAGAGGTTATGTGCTAATACAGCAGAGGTTAGGAGAAAAAAGAATTACAGTATTTGAGAACAGGGTCTCATTAAGTCCAAAATATCTGTAGATATTAAGTCTACCAAGGCCAAAACAGAAGCCTGTGGATACAGGAAAAATGAAGATGCTATATATACACCATTATATAAGAACTAGTCCCACATAAAGGCTGGAAGAAAAGATAAATCAGAAATTAATTTTGAGACCTCTAAGGATTTGAAGTTTTATCTACAAAGTAAAGGTAGAATGAGGGAATTCTCATCCTTCTCCCTCAATCTTCTCCATAAAGGAAGGGACAAAATCATCTTGAGAAAATAAGGTATGGGAAATGGGAGTCATTGTAGGGAATTCACCAGAGTCTAGTGATGAATAAAAGAAGTGATGAGAAACAGTTGCAAAAGGGCTGAGTAAAAGGACTTAAGGGATCTCTTATTCCACTACTGCTGTGGTTTGGAAGCAGGAGGTGATAAAAGTCGATGGGGGTTTTCCGAATGTTAGGAATTAACACAAAGAACCTCCCTGCTTCTTCCTGTGTATTTTATAGGCTGAAAGTTTACTCATTGAACACTAGCGGCAAAAGTTTCACTCCAACCTTAGTAACACTCTCCACCTCTGCATCTCATATCACGCAGAAATAAAGTTCTTTCCCTACTTTTACTCATTAGAAATATATTATGGCTACTCCTTTAAGATTCTACTTTATAAACTCAAAGCAGTAAGATTAAAATCTTGGCCAATCCCCTTCTCTTCAAATACAAAGCACAGAAGCTGGTTTGTTGAATATGTTCAACACATGTTTGGTCCTACCCTTTCTGACTTCTTTAGTGAAAAAAAAAAAAAATTGACTTTTAAAAAAATTTTACAAGAAAATTTAAACAATGTGATTTTCTTCTCAGGAAAATAGAAGTGGAAATAGAAATTAAACATACAGGCTGCTGCTGCTGCTGCTAAGTCACTTCAGTTGTGTCCGACTCTGTGCAACCCCATAGATGTCAGCCCACCAGGCTCCCCCTGTCCCTGGGATTCTCTAGGAAAGAACACTGGAGTGGGTTGCCATTTCCTTCTCCAATGCATGAAAGTGAAAAGTGAAAGTGAAGTCACTCAGTCGTGTCTGACTCTTAGTGACCCCATGGACCGCAGCCTACCAGGCTCCTCCATCCATGGGATTTTCCAGGTAAGAGTACTGGAGTGGGGTGCCATTGCCTTCTCTGTAAACATACAGGCTAGGCAAATAATTTCCTATTTATATTTTGTGGTTTTGGATGTGAACCTTTTCAAAGTCTTTATTGAACTTGTTACAACATTGCTTCTATTTTATGTTTTGGATTTTTGCCTGCAAGGCATGTGAGATCTTGGTTCCCCAACCAGAGACAGATCTGTACCCCCTGCATTGGAAGGTGAAGTTTTAACCACTGGGCCACTGGCGAAGTCCCTCTTATTTTTCTTTAAACATTGATAAACCTCATCAGAATATATTGAGAAAAAGGAATTTCAGTTCCAGAATGGTATCACATTTCCTTGTTTATCAAGCTTTTAGTTGAATAGATTTCAGATAGAAAGTAAACTGTAATGGCAGGGAAAAAAAAGAGACATTCAAAGTCAACAATTTATAAATAAATCTTTAAATCCCTCTTAGAAAGTGAAAGTGAAATCACTCAGTTGTGTCTGACTCTTTGTGACCCCATGGACTGTAGCCTACCAGGCTCCTCCGTCCATGGAATTTTCCAGGCAAGAGTACTGGAGTGGGTTGCCATTTCCTTCTCCAGGGGATCTTCCTGACCCAGGGATCGAACCCAGGTCTCCTGCATTGCAGGTAGGTACTTTACCATCTGAGCCACGTGGGAAATCCCTCTTAATGGTTCACAGTAGTCCAAAATTCTTGTTGTAAATGCTTGCAGTTCATTGGTGTCATTTTTAAAGAGGGGTTAACTCCAAACTGATCTATGCAAAAATAACTCGCTTTTAACTTAAGGAAAGGTTAAACCTCATGCTTCCTTTTTTTTTTTTTAACAGTGGCAAAAAACAAATAATCATATAATTCTGATGAGACTTCAAAGGTTTAGTGATCAGAAATGGAGAAATCATTTTCTGCCCTAATGTTGCCTGCATTCAGAATGTATGGTATTCATTCTCTGTCCGCTATTTCTTCTCACTCTTACCTCCTTAGAGTAACAGAAATCAAAACAAAAGGTACCCCGACACTGTTTATGTTACACTGTGAATTACAAAGCTATTGACAGCAAAATATGATATAGATATCTATTATAACAAAAATAACTGGGCAATAAATTCAAAGTTTCTTCATACTTGTAGTATTTTATGATTTCCTTATAATTAAAATTGTGAAGTTTATACCTATTAGAAAAAAATACATAATGTTTGACTAGGAACACTGGCCTTTTCTAATAGGTCTACCTAACTGGAATGAAAAGTGATGAAATCTCGTAATTATCACCAGCAGAGTGTATTTACCTACCATGTTACAAATGCTAAAGGATGGTATTACCATTTCTTAGATATCTGACAAGCCACACACCATTCCACTACTTTCTGTGGGTGTTCCATTCATGGAGAATTAAAGATCTAAGCTTAAAAAGTGACTGGAGCTGAGTATCACTCAGTGAGTATCACTGAATCAAGATGTAAAAAAAAAAAAAAACCTGGATGATCTCTAAAGGTTCATTCAGTCTAATATATTGCATTCTAAGAAAATTTGATTCTCTATTCTAACTCCCCCTGACTAGTTCTTGTTGGAGCTATAAATGAAGTGGTCAAAAGATAGTTAGTGGGATGTCAATATAAATTGATCTACCAATTTAATTGTTAGGCAGCTTTTCAAATCCTAAATGTTATAGTCACTACAAAGTTCTTTGTAACACAGAACAATCTAAAAACCACAACTCAATCTTTTTAGCTAAGAATAAATCATGAGAGACCTGTAATATTTTATTTGTTAAAAATGAACAGCTTCAGAGCTAAAGGTTAACTTTTCCAAAAAACACCAAAAAGTACAGTGTAAAGCATCTCCTCATTAAATACAAATGTTCATTTTGTGATGCACTGCATCAATGTTTTTTATACACCTTGATGCAAAGGGAAATTTAAGTTGCATCTTGTTTAAAAAAAAACTTTTAAGAACTGAAAAAGGATGACTACAACCACATTCTAAGAAAGGAAAAATTTCCTCCAAAAGAGCATATTCTTTTGTTTTTATACAACATGTTAGCACTCAAGAATTATAATTTGGCTGTAACAAAGGTAAGATTTTCTATTTAAAAAGAAAATGAAATTACAGATGCATGAAGAGCAAAAGTTTAATATACCAAAGACATTTTGTTTGATGCACTTAATATCAATATTTGGAGGGATTTTTAAGATTTAAAAAGAAGGCATTAATAATAGCTCTGTACAGTAATATTTAAAAGAACAAGAAAATGAAAACATCTTTATACCATATTTTCACAAACTGCTCTAAAGACAGCAAACTTGTGCTCAGTTCTTTTTCCTTTGTTTTAAAATAAGTTATCAATAATTCTAAACCAGTCTAAAATGTATTGTTCATGAGTCAAATCTAAGCATTCATATTTGCAAAAATGTTTTGCAATTAGTCCTTGGCCTACAGAGAGACTGGAGTTTACTTTCAAATTGTATGACTGGCTTCCAATAATCCCTTATCAGTAGACTTACAAGCAAAATACCAGATATTAAGGATCAGATTTAATTCTTTGGTATAAGCATGAAACTGTTATTGATAGCTTTCCGTGGCTAGCATAAACCAAGTAACCAAAGGACCATGAGAAACAACAATGAAGTCTAGAATACCCTGCAACGCAGGCAGGAGCCATAACAATGTCTTGTGTTTTAACAGGGAAAATCAACACAAATAATACACTGCAGGGAAAACTAACACCTACTTAGAGGTTTTAACATTACAGCAAATCAAAAAGTTAAACTTCAAAATGACCAAACTTGTAACCTGTAGTTTGAATATTTTGCTGCATTTTGGTATTATACCATAACTTAAAATTTACAGCCATCTGAGGACTTTCAGCACTAGCTTGGCACAACAAATTAACTCCTCCTAACCCTCCAGAGTATGAGGGGGGGAAATCCTTTTCTCACCACAAATGCCTGAACTTTACACAAGAAATCAGAAGCAAAGGTACAGAACAAGGTCATAATAATGTTAACTCTATTATAATTTTGCACTTTTTACCTTGTGACATGTACATTTTTTTAAGAGCTGTATGTATACTGTTCAACTTAGTAAACTTAAAATTTAACTTTTTCAAATAAGAAGTCCAGGACTTTATGGCTAATTCTCCTATCAAAGTATCTACGGAACTCAATCCATTTTAATTATAATTATTCTAAATATTATCTGAAGAATACTTTGTGCACACTAGACTCAAAACTACACTAAATCCAAACAGTATACCTATGACCTAGATTTTAAAGTCTTCATCTCAGTTACCATCTTCCACCTGCTACTTTCTCTCCACACAAATTACCAGATTTTTACTCTGGACTTTCCTCCAATTAGGCTCTATCAGATAACTTTGTAAACACCCACTTACAGCCTTTAAACACCAAAATTTTAAACAGAAGCTAATGCCTGGAGTCACATTTCTTGTTAAAAAAAAAGTTCAGCATTAAAGATTTACAACTCTGGAGGATTAACCTAATGTTTTTTGAAAAATGAACCAAGTTCCAGATACCCCCATAAATCTTAAACCCCCAAACTGAAATTCTAATAATTTTTTATATCCCTAATGAAGAAAGTCAACTGCACTTATTATACCAACACTATTAAAGTATAAGTGACAGCAACAAAGGGACCTACTTCAAATCTTGAAGACCAAGATTTACCACGGCAAGGTGTAAAAAATGAGCAAAGGTGATGAGATCCTAAATACCACTATCATAAAATAATCAATTTCTATCTTTCCACATTCTTTCTGCTGCATGAGGAATCAAAAAAGTCAAATACAGAATTGCTCTGTCTGGGCCAACCATGAAATCTTTAAGAACATATAGGTATATTCCCTGTTACTCTTTCAGGGCATTATTTATACATGTTTAAAAAAAACTTCAAAAATAAAATTAAGAGTTATTTAGCCTTATGAATATTTTGAAATAAAGTTTCTTGAATTTCTGTGATGAACTCTTCAAGCAATTATATTTTTAAGAGTCATCACTCAAAAGTTCCTTTGACATAGGATCTATCCCACGGTTACAAAGCGGCTTCCTCCTTTGTTGAAAGTGAGAGTGGCTCTTTGTTCCTTCAGGATCCCAAATCGCTCATTCAAAGTCATCCCTGTCTAGAGAAAACAAAACAAAACAAAACAAAAATTAACAACTTGACTGTAAGCTACATTTGCTTTGGAATAATAATGTGATCATAATGGTAATTCACAGTAACAATACCTAACATTTCCTGAATACTTATATATATACTCGTTTAAATTCTAACAAACACCCATACAAAATAGGTGAATTTAGTGAAGTTTAGAGAAGTTATTTGTCTACTTGCAGGTCTAGAATTGAAACTGAGTCAGAATCCCTAAAATGGCAATGCCAAAGAATGTTCAAACTACCGCACAACTACGCTTGTCTCACATGTTCGCAAAGGAATGCTCAAAATCGTTCAAGCTAGGCTTCAATAGTGTATGAATCGAGAATCTCCAGATGTTCAAGCCGGATTTGAAAAGGCAGAGGAACCAGAGATCAAACTGCCAACATCTACTGGATCATAAAAAAAACAAGGGAATTCCAGAAAAACATCTACTTCTGCTTCATTGACTACACTAAAGCCTTTGTGTGGATCACAACTAACTTTGAACATTCTTAAAGAGACGGGAATACCAGACTGAAAGGAAAGTAACAACTGACAAAATAAAATAAAAATAAGCAAAATAAATTTGGTCAAATTTCTGTCCATACAGAAAACTTTAACTTCACTCCACAGTTGACATTTTAAAATGTCACACTCATTCATGATAAAAATTCTCAGCAAATTACAAATAGAAGGGAACTTCCTCAATCTGATAAAAACAGCCTACTACTAACATCAAACTTAATGGTGAAAAACAATGCCTTCTCAAGTCTGGAGACAAAACAAGCAAACATGCTCTCAACATAGTACTGAATATCCTAGCCATCATAATGAAGAAAATAAAAAGATTTAAAGATTGGAAAGAAATTCAAAGAATGACATGATTGCTTACAAAGAAAATCCTAAGTAATTTATAAAATTATTAAAAGCAGAAAGTATATTTTAGCAAGATTACAAGGTTAATACAAAAACTGCCAAAACCATGGTGAGATACACCACTTGACATGCATCAGAATGTCTAAAATCATATGACAGATAATAACAAATGCTAGCAAGGACATGGAAAATTTCAGAACTCTCGTACATGTTAGAAGGAATGGTACTGCAGCTACTTCTCTGGAAAACAATTTGGTACTTCCCCAAAGGTTAAACCCAGAATTATAATATGATTAGCAATTCCATTCTTAGGTATTTACCAAGGAGAAATAAAATATACTCACATAAAAACATGAATGTATAGGTTTTTGTGTGAACATATGTACATCAATGTTCAGAGGAACATTATCCACAATAGCCAAAGAATGGAAACAATCCAAATGTCCATCAATTGACAAATAAAATACAGTATATCCATATGGTGGAATGTTATTCAGGAATAAAAAGAAATAAAATATTGATATACACAATGGATAAACCACGAAAAAACTATGCTAAGTGAAAAAAGCTTCACATATTATATGATCCCATTACATGAAATGTCCAAAATAAGCAAATTCAGAGACAGAGAACAGATAGACCAGTAGTTTCCTAGGGATGAGTATAGTTAGGACATCCTATTTAATTCATTATACAACATTAGTTTTGTTAATTAAAATATTTTCAGTCAATGGCCCAGAGACCATTGACGGGGCGGGGTGGGGGAATTTACCTGTTTTCCAACACTGTTTATGTCAAATTGTAGGGGGACACCTTTAGGAACTTTCTTTACATCAGATTGATCCCGTTTTGTCAAGAATGAGGGCACAGCAGTACGAGTTAATCGTGGTTTCTGAGTTCTATTAGGAAAAAATTAAAATAAGACCAGTTAAACAATGAAAAGAAGAGAAATAAATCACTTGGTTCATAAGACATCTTGACTTGTACACATGTTCAGCTGTATGAAGGCTATTTACATTCTCAATAACCCTGCCAACCCAGTTCTTTTATTTTTTGAAGTATAGTTAATTTACAATTTTGTGTTTTTCAGGTATATAACATAGTGATTCAGTATTTTTACAGATATTTCATTATAGGTTGTTATATGATAATGGGTCTAATTCCCTATGCTATACAGTAAATCCTTGTTGCTTATCTATTTTATATATAGTAATTTGTATCTATTAATTCCATATATCTGATTTTTTCCTTCTGCTTCTCTGCCCTCTATGTAACCACAAGTTTGTTTTCTATGTCTGCAAGTGTGTTTCTGCTTTCTATATACATTCATTTGTATTGTTTTTTAGATTCCATATATAAGTAATAGATAGTATTTGTCTTTCTCTGACTTATTTAACTAAGTATAACATTCTCTCAGTCCATCCATGTTGCTGCAAATAACAGTACTTCATTCTTTTTATAGCTGAGTAACATTCCATTGTATATACACATATATATGCATATATATATATATATATGCCACATCTTATTTATCCATTCATCTCTTGATGTATACTTAGGTTGCTTCCATGTCTTGACTACTGTAAACAGTGCTGTTATGAAGAACACTGGGGTGCACATATCTTTTTGATTTAGTTTTTTCATTTTTTTCCAGATATACACCCAGGAGTGGAATTGGTAGTTCTATTTTTAAGAAACCTCTATCCTGTTTTCCACAGTGGATGAACCAATTTACATTCTCACCAACAGTGTACATGGGTTCCCTTTTCTCCACGTCCTCTCTGACATTTATTATTTGTAGACTTTTTGATGAGAGCTATTCTGACAGGTGAAGTGATACCTCATTGGGGTTCTGATTTGCATTTCTTTAACAATTAGTGGTGCTAAGCATCTTTTCATGTGCCTGCTAGCCATCTTTATGTCTTCTTTGGAAAAATGTCTGTTCATGTCCTCTTCCCACCTTTTGACTGAACTGTTTTCATATTGACTTGTATAAGCTGTTTGTATACTTTGGATTTTAACCCATTGTTGGTTGCATCATTTGCAAATACTTTCTTGCATTCTGTAGGCTGTCTTCTGATTTTGTTGATGGTTTTCTTGGCTGTGTAAAAGCTTTAAAGTTTAATTAGGTCCCATTTATTTACTTTTGTTCTTATTTCTTTTGCCTTTGGATACTGATCCAAGAAAATACTGCTATGATTTATGTCAGGGTGTGACCTCCCACCTTCTTTCTTTTTTTCTCAGAATTGCTTTGGTAATTTGGGGTCACCTGGAGTTCCATGTAAATTTTATCTGCTCTAGTTCTGTGAAAAATGTCCTGGGTATTTTGATAGGTATTGCATTAACTCTAGAGATTTCTCAGTAATATGGTCATTTTAATAATATTAATACTCCCAATCCAAGAGCATGGGATTATCTTTCCATTTCTTTGAATCATCTAAAATTTCCTTCATCAATGTCTTGCAGTTTTCAACATACAGGTCCCTTCACCTCCTTGGTTAAGTTTACTCCTAGGCATTGTGTAAACACAATTTTAAATGAGTTTTATTTCTTACTTTTTCTTTCTGATATTTCATTATTAATATATAGAAACAGGTATTAACCTTGTATCCTGCAACCTTGTTGAATTTAAAAAGAAATACTTGGTTCTTGACAGGCTAATCTAGAGACTAAAATTTATAAACTGCTCACAGAACACCTCTGTAAGTAGAACTACAAACTTCTCAACAATTTGGAATGATTGGTCATTTCCAAGTCTTGATCTTCTACTAAAATAAAGCAACCTCTAAAATTTTAAAGAGACTTATCTGATGTTTTCATCTCAATTATTAAAATGGATGTATAGGTAAAACAAAAACTCTGTAAACCTAGGAATTTTTTAAAAAATTTTATTATTTTTAAAACATGTTCATCACAACTGACATAACTGACTTCATAACCTATAATGGGTCATACATATTGACACAGACATTTTCCTCTGCTGTGTTAGCTTGAGTACGCCTGCATGAAGTTCCAAGAAACTAGCCAATCTGCTAGACCACTGGCTGACACGGGACTTTCAATTATAAGTACACAATGTAGATTTTCATTCCTGATACTTTTTGATGGCTAAAATTTAAGAGTGCCAGTTACAGTGTGGTCTAGTGAGGATCCAATGAGGTTTTTCCAAGGCTTGGTCAATTATCAGGTTGAATTTGATGATATGGTTTTAGAACTTTCTTGAAATGGATCCTTTACCTCCAGCCCAGTGCTACAAGTCTCACATCTTGCCTGTGAAATCAGGGTTCAGCTCACCACCCCCCACCCCCGCCCAGGCAATATCACTTCTGGCTTCAACCTAGGAAGTTTATAATGCAATAAATATAATGGAATGGTGAAGTTAATTAAGGTCATTTAAATAAAAGAATGGGCTTCCCTGGTGGCTCAGTGGTAAAGAATCCGCCTGCCAATGCAGGAGACTTGGGTTTGATCCCTGGGTCAAGAAGATCCCACGGAGAAGGAAAGAGCAACCCACTCCAGTATTCCTGCCTGGGAAATCCCATGGAGAGAGAAGCCTGGAGGCTATAGTCCACAGGGTCACAGACATGAATTAGCGACTAAACAACAAAAATAAAAGAATATACTATGATGTCTTTAAAAAGAAGGCGGCGCACAGAAGGAGCCAAGATGGCGGAGGAATAGGACGGGGATACCACTTTCTCTCCTACAAATTCATCGAAAGAACATTTGAATGCTGAGCAAATTGCACAAAACAACTTCTGATCGCTAGCAGAGGACATCAGGCACCCAGAAAAGCAGCCCATTGTCTTCGAAGGGAGGTAGGACAAAATATAAAAGATAAAAAGGGACTCAGGAGAGCTACGGACGGAGACCCGTCCCGGGAAGGGAGTCTTAATAGAGGAAGTTTCCAATCACCAGGAAACCCTCGCACTGGCGGGACTGGGGAAAGTTTTCGGCAATCTAACTGGGAGGAAAAATTAAACAAGGCCCACAGATTACGTGCCTAAAAGCAACTCCCAGCAGAAAAGTACCCCAGACGCCCGTACCCGCCAGCAACAAGCGGGGGCGGGACAGAGAGGAGCGGGCGGCATTGCTTAGGGTAAGGACCGGCCCGAAGACCCTGAGAGCAATCTGAGGGAGCTTTTTTAAACTGTGGGATAGCAAGGGTCAAAATTAACAGGCCCGAACACACTGCCGGCGGTTGGCAAAACAAAGGGACTGAGAAAGTCCAGAGAAGAGCCGGCCCATCCCCGCTGGAGGTTGGAGGCAGGGGGGAGGGGAAAAGGGCAAACTCAGCCCCAGAGAAGCCACCCCCTCCCACACTGCAAACAGGCCCCCGGTTCCTATCTAAAGACTTCCTGAGCCCCGACTGGCGGCGCGCGCTGGGGCCGCGGACGGAGAAAGCGCGCCGTACCCGGGGAGACTGCGCCCAAGCCTCTGGCTGCCTGAGCTGCCCGCCGCGGAGGGAAAAAGCCCGCCGTACCCGGGGAGACTGCGCCCAAGCCTCTGGCTGCCTGGGCCGCTCGACGCGGAGGGAAAAGGCGCGCCGCATCCGGGGAGATTGCGCCCAAGCCTCTGGCTGCCTGAGCTGCCCGCCGCGGAGGGAAAAGGAGCGCCACCTCCGGCGAGAGTGCGCCCAAGCCTCTGGCTGCCTGAGCTGCCCGCCGCGGAGGGAAAAGGAGCGCCACCTCCGGCGAGAGTGCGCCCAAGCCTCTGGCTGCCTGGGCCCCTCGACGCGGAGGGAAAAGGCGCGCCACACCCAGGGAGAGTACGCCCAAGCCTCTGGCTCCCTGAACCGCTCAGGCCTGGGAAGGCACAAAACGCAGGCGCAACCGAATCTGCGTTTTTGTGGAGTACCCGAAAACTGGAACCGCACTCAACGCAGGGCCCGCTCCATATAGAGCAGCCGGGAGCCTGAGCAGTCTAGACGGCAAAAGCACTGACACCCGTGAGCGGGGCAAACCCAGTGTGACCGGAACACGGTGAGTGCTATCCACACAGAGCGGTATCTGTCTGCAGCGCCCCGCCCTCCCCGTAGCAGGACTGAACTGAACTAGAGAACCTAAATAAGAGATCACCTCGACCCGCCTGTGTCAGGGCGGAAATTAGACACCAAAGAGACGGCAAACAGAAGCCAAATAAACAAAGGGAACCGCTTCAGAAAGGACTGGTGCAACAGATTAAAATCCCTGAAGGTAACACCGACTACACCAGAAGGGGCCTACAGATATCGAGAAGTGTAAGCTGGAAAGAGGAGCTATCTGAAATTGAACTGAACCTACGCTGACTGCAACAACTCCAGAGAAATTCCTAGATATATATATATATATATTTTTTTTTAATTTAAAAAAAATTTTTTTTCTATCCTTTTTTTTTTTTAAATTTTTTCTCTTTTATTTTCTTTTAAAATTCCCTATTACTCCCCCATTACTCCTCAACTTTCATTTTCATATATTTTTACGATTTTTTTAATTAGGGAAAAAAAAATTTTTTTTTCTTTTTTTTTCTTTTTCTTGTTTTTCTCTCCTATTTCCTTTTAAAGTCCTCTAATACTCCTCCATTATTCCTTAATTTTCATTTTCATTTCACTATAACCTTGCCAAAAAAAAAAAAGAGAGAGAAAAACCCTATTTTTAAATCAAACTTCATATACATTTCTAAATTTTTTTGTGTGTTTTTGTTTTTAAATATTGTATTTCAAAGAGTCTAACCTCTACACTAGATTTTTAATCTTTGTTTTTCAATAGTATGTGATATAAATTTTGGTCATTTAAGAATCCAATATTCAGTTCCCATTTCTATTCAGGAGTGTGGTGATTACTCTCCCACTTTTGACTCTCTGTTTTCTACCTCGGAACACCTCTATTTCCTCCTTTCCCCTTCTCTTCCCAATCCAACT